GAGTAAGCTGCTGAGGCCCCAGAAGGTCGGGGCAAAAGCTAGGGATGATGTGGTAGCAGTAGATTAGGGCCTCTATGTAATGGATTCGGCCCACCTTATGTAATCATTTTGATATCAATGAAATTGAATTTTCTGCTAAGTGTTGTTGCTTCTTTCTTTTATGTTGAACTATTTGCAATTGTACCTTTGTAATCATACTTTTTCATTAGTGCCTCAAAAGAACGGTTGCAGAAGTGTGTGCCTCTATCACTAATGATAACACGTGATGTACCAAATCGAGACGAAATATTTTCTTTAAGGAATTTAACAACCGTTTTATTGTCATTTGCTCTACTAGCAATCACCTCTACCCACTTGGACATGTAATCCACAGCCACAATAATGTATAAATAGCCAAAAGAGGGTGAAAAGGGTCCCATAAAGTCAATGCCTCAACAACCAAACACTTCAACTATCAAAATGGGATTTAAAGGCATCATATTACGGCGGGAAATAGCACCTAGTTTCTGACACCTCTCACAAGATCTACAATATGCATCAGTATCTTTAAGCAAGGTGAGCCAATAAAAATCATACTGCAAAATTTTTGCAGCAGTCTTTTTCATGGAAAAGTGGCCCCTATAAGCTTGGGTATGGCAAAAATCTAGTACACTGGGTATCTCCTCATCAGGAACACATCGTCTCAATATTTGGTCGGGGCAATTCCTGTGCACTTTACTCCTTTGGGATTTCACCTGCAGCCAAGTAATTTGCAATATTAGCAAATCATGGTAGAGAAGAGATAGTAAATAAATTTTCATCAGGAAATTCATCTCTAATTGGCAAGGTGTTTGAGTTGTCTTCAAAAGTCAGCCTTAACAGATGGTCTGCTACAACATTTTCCACTCTCTTCTTATCTTTAATAATGATGTCAAATTCTTGCAAAAGTAAGATCCAACATATTAATCTTACCTTAGCATCCTTCTTTGCAAGAAGGTGCTTAAGGACTGCATGATCTGTGAAAATAGTAATGGAAGAGCCAATCGAATAGGATCGAAACTTATCAAGCGCAAAGACTGCCGCTAGTAATTCTTTTTCAGTAGTGGAATAATTCATTTGAACACTATTTAGAGTTCTACTAGCGCAGTAAATCACAAAAGGTTTACCTTCTTTTCGTTGCCCTATAATAGCACCTACCGCAAAGTTGCTAACATCACACATAATTTCAAATGACAATGTCCAATCAGGTGGTTGAATTATGGGTGCAGAGGTGAGTTTACCAATCAACAATTCAAATGCATTTTGACATTCAAGTGTCCATTCAAAAGTCACATCTTTGTTTAACAAGTTACATAGGGGTCTAGATATGGATGAGAAATTTTGTATAAACCTCCTATAAAAACTTGCATGTCCAAATAAGCAAATTGTACCATAGTAAAATGTGATTGTTCCTTCATTTTACGAAAAAGCTTTCGTAAAAGGAAGGGGAAATCATGTTTTTTTAGGTGCAATTTAATGGACTCGGACCAATTTCATGCCATCAACTTGTCAAGTGGGATTGTTCATCAACTCATTTTCTTAATGTATGGTGGATGAATAATTAATTAAAAGATGAGAGAGTATTGAGTAATCGTTTAAAGTTGGGTGAGTATGTAGAAATATGATGAAAGTTTAGTGACTATTTAACTTTCATGCATAAGACAGAGAGCCAATTAGCCAAAGAGAAAATTACCCAATGGCCAATACCATGATCTGAAAATTCGATAATCATAAATCAGGTTATAAGGGGGCCTTGACTCCATTTCTTCACTCCCCCAAAATGTTCTCGACAACAATAATAGCAATATTCCTTTAACAACCAATTATCGGTCTTATTATGATCAAAAGCAAGAGTGTTTAATGGATTTGAAAAGTTATCCTGTAAAAGAAAATATGCTCGTGTTTGGTGGCGCTGAAGCGAGTTGTTCTTCATCTGATGGAAGCTGCAGTCAGATCAGCCGTGGAAAAACTGTAAAACAAGAACTGGGCTGTCTTCAAGGACTTGTGTCAAATAATGGATTTCGAGAAAATCAAAAGTTCATTCTTGATTATGGACATATCAATGGAGATAACAATGGAGACCCATTCCTCATATTTACTGATCAAAAGTCAACTGGGATTTTGGGGAACAGCCAACTGCAGTATGATATTGAAGAAGTTAGCAAATGATTAGCATCGGCAATGGTTTACTCGATGAAAACAAGACTCAAGAGAAGCGTATGTACCAGTACTAATGAATTGAAAACTGACTGTAATTACCATCGGAAAGATTTGAAGGGGCATCGTATGGTGGGAATTCAGATGGTTTACTGTTTGTGATGGAAATTAATGAAAAAACTTATTTTTTTTCTTGACAGTACATGGTAAAGTTTTTATTTCTGTGTATTTTTTTTTTTACCATGTTTCAGTTCGGAAATTCACCATTCGAGAGTCTGAAATGACTACTGATCAAAGATCACCGTTATAAGTTATTCACAAAACACACACACACATTACACATAAGTTGCATTGACTTAGACGACATTTACTATTCACGAGTGGGGTTCTACCCATTTAAGTGAAAAAGACCATTACAACCCCCACTTCTGGTTTGAATTGTGATCGGGCCCTCGTTAATTTTATAGTTTTTAAGAATACTGTCAAATTTAAATATTATATACTTGACTGAATATATAATTATTATTTACTGTCGTCTGCTTATGGATCTTTTATTAATTTAATAAATGATTCGGCTTAATATGAGAAATATAATAAATAACTACATAGAAAAAATTTCATTTTCGTGTGGTGGCTTAGGTTTTGAAAATGACAGAAAAAATCATCATATTATTTAAAAGCAATTTAATAATAAATCCAGTTGTTTTAATTAAGTAGAAGAAAAGGCTCGACGGCTTGGGCGGTCCACGGCCCGGCTTGGGAAAAGCCCGAGCCGGTCCTGCTCGTGGCTTGGAGCAACCGAGCCCCACAAAAAAAAAACAAAAAAAAAATGAAAAAAAAAAGAAAAAAAGGCAGCAAATTCAAAAGGCGGAATTCTGCCTTGGCAGCCAATTGCTGCCCTTTTTAAGGTAGAAAAAGGCAGCGAACAAAAGAGAGAGAGAGAGAGAGAGAGGGAAAAAAAAAATCGAGCCGACTTGGCTCGGAAAAGCCCGAGTCGAGTCAAAATTTTTTGGTAGAGCTTTTCGGACTCGTAAAAAAGCTTGACCATTTTAATAGAGCCGAGCTTGAGCAGAAAATTTTAGGCTCGGACTCGACTCAACTCGTTGACATCCCTAATAACAAGCATCAACTAGAGTACCTGCATGTGTATGTTGAAATGTAGTTAAATGTTTGAAAAGGGACCATCCACAACAAACTATGGGAGTAAATAATATAAACGATAGAGACGCTTGATCACGGCACCTGAGGATTTATAATGGTTTAATGGGGGAAGTCATGGACTGATTGGTTAATATTGATTGACCAATGTTTTATGATTATCGATTTCAGAGGGTCCCATTATAGTAGGCCTTTGTTTAAGTAAGCGAAATATTATTAATCGGTCTAAAATTGATCAAAATGATTCCGGTAGGAGAAGAAACAAATTTTAAAACGATGGATTTAGATAATGTACAAAACATGAGTAAACTCATACTACAGAAATTTTCTTTCTAGGTATTGAGCTTTGTATGTGAAAATTTACAAATGTAAAATCTACAAAGTTTATAACATTCGATGGAAGAAATTTCCATCTCCAAGAGAAAACACCATGACTTCTTAATTCCATTGCCCTTTTGAAATACTCCATATGGAGATATACCTGTAACGTAACTTTTATAGAATTATATTGCATGGAACAGCTTGAATCCTAATAGATCTTAAACGTGATGTCTTCAATTTGGAATTTCAATTAATTTCATTGGCTATTATTTTAAGTGATCGACTTTTGTAGAATTCAGAGTTTCTAGTTGCTTTTTGTTTCTTTTCTTCCGAAAGCAACCTTTAAGAGTGGCGAGATAATAAAGGATCGATCAAAATTCTACGTTCTCCTTACTTTTTTACATGGTAGGTCACTCTTGGAGCCTATATTCACGTGTAACAACAGAAAAAGTTCCTTAGTGCGAATTTCATCGATCATGCAGGAGAAAATTTAGCTTAGCTGATTCATTCATTTTTTTATCTTTTCTATTTCAGTTCAGCTGCAAAGGTGAAAGAACAGAAGAATTATCAAAAATCTGAACAAGATATCAATTAAGATTCAATGTCGGAACATTTGTCCTTGTATTCAATCTATATGAACCTTTGACTTCATAAAGGTACCTCTTTATCAGAAAAACGAAAAAGGGAACATCAGATACTGAAGACATGTTTAAGCTTGCAAATTTGAAAGGGATCCTCATTGGGAAGCAGTCAACAAAGGTCCAAAATTATATGATCACAAGCTCTTATGTCAGTCTATGCCACTGCTTCATCCCATTCTATTGGTTCTATTATTTATTTCAAATAACGCTACAGTTAAATAATTGTGCATACATATAAATATAACATGTGTTAATATAAAATTTCTTCTTCGGCCAACCCACAAAATATACTAGTAATTTAATGAAATTGATTGTTGGTGGGAATGTCTTTTCTAGTAACAATCATGCTATGCTGACAAAAAGAATTTGACACTGTGTCTAACAGCACACTTAGAATAGGAGGGGAGGGAAGCTTTTTTTATTCACACAAGTCTCACGCTCATGAGGATGTCGGTCAAGGATTTTGTCAGCCCCTTTTTCACAACTCAACTTAATTCTTCTAGTAAAGCATAAAGCTCAAAAGTAGTGGAAATTATTGACAGTGACAAAGTTGTGGAAATTATTGACAGTCTGACAAATGGAATATTTGCATAAACAGCTCACCCCACCCCCCCCCACCCCCCAATTCTTTTTCTCTTTGAATTATAATTTGATGTCAAACATAAAAAATAAAAAAATAATAAAAAATAAAAAAATCCAACAGATAAAAACTTTGGAGGATTGCTTATAAATTCTTGCTTTGGCTTTGATCTGTTCATATAATAATAGAAAGTGAGATTCTAGCAAGATCACATTCATATTCCCAAGTACCATCACACATTTAATTTTGAAAAGTCAGGCATTTCTATGAAGAGAGGTGTGGAGTGAATAAATCCATAGCTGCGTGTTTGTTAGTTAAAAAGTCTATGTTTAAAAAAGGAATTGAGGGCATTTCATATCAATGTCTTCTTCTCTTCTTTGCTCAAGCTCTTCAAGTAATCGTCGAGCAAATTACCACGCTCCTGCAGCCATAAAAAGAAAAAAGAAACATGCTTCATATTCACAGGCATTCCAAAAAAAATTTCTAAATAACTAGTGGGGTAAACGTTAATAGGTTGGTTGAAATGGGAAGATGGGACGGAATGAACTATAATAATTGAAATCCCCTTTGCAGCCTCGTAAAAAATAAAAAGAAAAAAGAAAAAATATATATATATATATATAGCACTTACAAAAATGAGATTCCATGTGGAATCCATGATATTCTAGAGAGAAACTTCAGAAAGATAAATGACGTTTTCACATATATCTTCAACAATGGTTCACAAGCTTGGAAGAGTATTTGACTAATTTACCTCAAACTGGATTGGCTCAAACAGTAAATTGGCTTCTGTATGGCTTCAAATGGCTCCCAGGTTGCCTCAGATTCTGGGAGATCTTTCCACTTGATCAAAACTTCTGGCTCCCCATTTCTGTCAACGAGACAGGGCCTGATTGCCATCGCTGCCTCGGGGTTCAATAACAAGTTCTCCTTCAGCAGTGAGATGCGGCGGCAGGGAGGAGAAAAGCTGAGAGATACCAATCGCCTTCCATAGTTGGGACACATGGAACACATGACGTATGGCTACAGTAGGAGACAAGTTAAGCTTATAAGCAACATTATCCACCTCTGAGATAACTTCAAACGGCACATGAGCTTCTTTTCATCGACTTCTGTCGGAAAGGACACAGCTTAATGTACACTAGATCACCCACCTCAAATTGAATATCACATCGATGCCCATCAGCCATTTGTTTCATCCTCAGTTGAGACCTGGAAAGTTGAGCCTTAAGTTCCTGTAAAATCTCATCCCTTTCTAGTAAAAGCTGCTCCACAGAAGAATTAGCTGTAAGACCCTTCTCAAAGTGTAATATTGGCAAGGGATCACGGCTGTAAACAATCCGGAATGGAGTATGCTGGGTAGCAGTGTGAAATAATGTGTTATACCAAAACTCTGCCTAAGGAAGATACTGACTCCAAATGCGTAGCTTATCAGCTGCAAAACACATTAGATAGGTCTCTAGGCATTGATTTACCACCTCCGTCTGAGGGTGTTATGCAGTGCTGTGTTTTAGAACAGTCCCTTGTGCTTTGAACAATTCCGCCCAGAAGTTACTCATGAAGATCCGGTCCCCGTCACACAATCGACTGGGGCATGCCATGCAAACGAACTATCTCTCGTATGAATACCTCAGCAACCTCGGGAGCAGTGAAGGGGTGTTTTAAACCGATGAAATGACCATAATTACTCAAATGATCCACCACAACCAATATAGTATCCATCCCCCCGACTTGGGTAGCCCTTCAATGAAGTCAAGTGAGATATCGTCCCAAATTGAGTCCGGAATAGGTAAAGGCTGCAACAGCCCATAAGGAGACAAAGCCATGTACTTGTTCTGTTAGCATATGGCACAGTTAGCCACATAATCCTACACATCTTTTTTCATCCCCAACCAATAAACCTCACGTGCAACCCTTTTATATGTCTTAAGGAAACCGGAGTGCCCACCTATCTTGGAATCATGGCCTTCCTGCAATATGGTTGTGACAAAAGGAGAGTTTTTGGGAAGCACCAGCCCCTTCTGCAAGTGTAAAACCAGGTTTCACTAGAAGCCCAGACTGTATGTCATTCACCAGCTTACCCTAAACATCATCTGCGGCAATAGCTTGTTTGAGCTCTTCTAAATGTAGCGACCTGGGAGTAGAGATCATCAAGTTACTGAGGGTTGGTTCAACCCGAGAAAGAGCGTCTGTAGCCTTATTTTGCACCCCAAGTTGGTACTGGATGTCAAAACTGTACCCCAACAACTTGGTTAGCCACTTTTGATGCTCTTCGCTGACCATACGTTGTTCCAACAAAAACTTCAGACTTCTTTGATCCGTCAGCACAACAAAGTGCCGTCCCAGTAAGTAATGCCGCCATTTCTGAACAGCAAACACAATTGCCATTAATTCCTGCTCGTAGACTGATTTTTTTCTTGCATTAGATGGAAGAATGTGGCTATAATAGGCAATAGCGTGATGGTTCTGCATCAGCACAGTCCCCAGTCCATACCCTGAAGCATCAATTTCAATGACGAACTATTGTGAAAAGTCAGGCAATGAGAATACGGGGACATCTGTCATGGCTGCCTTCAGTTCTTGGAATGCTCTCTCTGCCTCGTTACTCCAAAAGAATCCATTTTTCTTAAGAAGCTCGGTTAGTGGCCATGCAACCTTGGCATATCCCGCCACAAACTGCATGTAATAGCTTGTCAGGCCAAGGAACCCTCAGAGCTCCTTGACGTAGCGTGGGGGCCAGCAGATCATTGCTTTAATTTTACTCTGATCGGTTGCCACTCCTTCCTCAGATATGATGTGACCTAAATATTCAATCTTCTGCTGTCCAAATACACGTTTCTTTGCATTAGCAAACAACTTATGCTCCTGCAGGCTTCCCAAGACTTTATGCAAATGCTGACAATGTTCCTCTACCGTCACACTGTACACCAAAATGTCGTCAAAGAAGACCAGTACAAATTTCCTTAAAAAGGGTCTGAAGATCTCATTCATTAAGTGCTGGAAGGTAGCCAATGCTTTTGTCAACCCAAAGGGCATTACCAAGAACTTGTAATGACCCTCGTAAGTTCAGAAAGTAGTCTTGGGGATGTCTTCTGCCTTAACCCTGATCTGATGGTATCCTGGCTTCAAATCCAGCTTAGAAAATACTCGGGCTCCATGTAATTCATCCAACACTCATCAATTACCGATTTTGGGAAGCGATCAGGTATTGTAACCTTATTGAGGGCACGATAGTCCACACAAAAGCGCCAACTCCCATCCATCTTAATCAGTAGAACTGGGCTCGAGAATGGACTATGACTAGGTTGTATAATCCCAGCAACTAGCATCTCCTGAACCAACTTCTCAATTTCATTTTTCTGGGCATAAGGATAACAATAGGGTCTCACATTGATTGCTGCTGTCCCCGGTTGCAATGTAATCGCGTGATCCCGTGTTCGTGTTGGAAAAAGCTCGTAGGATTCTCCAAATACCCTACCATATTCCTTCAACAAGTGCCAGATTGTATCAAGCATCTCAATCCCCATTTCCTCAGAGACCATACCCAAACTCCCCAATTCCAGCAACACCCCTTGTTCCCCATTCCTAATGGACTTCACTATCGACTTTAGGGACACTCGCTATTTATCTAGATTGGGGTCCCCTCGCAACACAATGGTTTCTTTTCCCCTACCTTAAAACGCATAGTCAATGCTCCCCAGTTTACCTGCATCTTCCCCAAGGTTCCCAACCACTTCATTCCCACGATCACTGTGCATCCCAACTTTAATGGTAGGAAATCTTCCACTACATCAATCTGTGGTAGAGATACCACTACTCCTCGACACACTCAACCTCCATTGACCACGAGCCCTGTTCCCATAATGGCTCCATAACTGTACTTACTGGAGATGTTCAACCCAAGTTTCCAAACTAGCTCATTCGAAATAAAATTGTGGGTAGCACCACAATCAATAATCACTATCACACTCTGCCCTAAAATGGAACCCTGAAGCTTCATTGTTTGAGGCACGGAGAGGCCAACCACCGATTTAATGGATAGTTCAATCAACTCCCCCAGTTCATCACTTTCTTCCTCCTCAGGTGCTTCCACTTGCTCCATCCCATTCTCTTCTTGTACCACAAGCACTTGCAATTCCATATTTGTGCATTTATGATTGGGCTTAAACTTTTCATCGCAGCGATAGCAAAGACCCTTATCCCTCTTCTCATGCAACTCGGGGTCGATGAGTCTCTTAAAGGGAGACGTCGGCTTAGCTACAATTACCGGTTGCGGCATCGGAATTGCTGCCAACTTGGAGTTGGCTATCGTCACTGTGGACGACTTCAGAGGTAGAGACGTTGGGCTGAATTGGTGAGAGGGGCTAAATGAATTGGGGCTGCCCGACGAGACTATATCACTGCCTTTATACATAATTGGGCCTGGCCTCAAATGGGCTCATTTCAGGGACTCGTTCCTATCCTCCACTCTTTAGGCCAATTCCATGATTTGGCCCAACCCCTGGGGCCTCATCAACCGTACTTCAGCACGTATTTCTGGGCTCAATCCGTTGATGAAATTCTCCTCCATCACTGATTCAGGAATCGCCAGCAAAGGTGCAGCCAACATCTCAAACATTCTACGGTAATCCTTCACAGTGCTCTCTTGCTTCAACGCCAGGAACTTCTCTAAGGCTATCCCTTCCTGCGAAGGACGAAAATGATCCAATAGAAGAAGCTTCACGTCTTTCCCAAGTTATAGGTTGTCGACACTCCTCCCATTGATAGTATGCTAGAGCTTCTCCTTCAAAACAGACGGCAAAAGCTTCTACCCGTACCCAGTTAGCCAGTAGATTCATGTTGAAGTACCTCTCAGCCTGAAAAATCCACCCATCAGAATCTTCGCCATTGAACACTGGCATTTCCAAACGGCAGCCTCTCATTCCGCCTTGATCCCTTTCATCTCGCCGTCCCCGAAATTCAATGTTCTCCCCTGACCCTTGTGAAGCGAGAGGATTGTCCTGGCTCGTAATAGTGCCAAGTGAATTGGTCTCCACTCCCTTCTCCTTCCGGTTGCGTTCCAACCTATCCCACTTCTTCATCATCAAATTGAATTTCTCCAGTAACCGTGATACCTCTGTTCTCATGGCTTCCATTCACGCTTGCATCCCGTCTACTCGTGTTTCCAACGCATCCATACGAACAGTGAGGCAATTCAAGGGGCCTGGATTCCCTCCTAACAGAAAGACTCACTAAAACAATGCCTACTTTTCCCTTTCCCTACAAGACCTTTTATAGACGTTTTAATCTACCACTATTACTCTTTTACCCCTCCCCCCTCAGCTACTGGCTTACAAGAATATTCTGGAATGAAAGTTGACGAGGCTGCCTTGTATCCTTCTTCCCTCTTCTTGCATAAGTGAATAGTATTGCGGGTCTATTAGATCCCTACCACTAATAGACATTTGTAAATGTTTAGTGTAAAACAATCCAACTTATTTAAACTGCCACATAAATCACGACATGAAGATTACAATTAGCCTTTGATTTATTTATGCCGAGTTGATTCTCATCATATAATCAAATATTAAAATGACTAAAACTCACAATTCCATCCACTTAGGAACAAAAATAACATGATTAAGAGCATGTTTTGCTAATATGTTACACTTATCTTTTACATTAGGAAAGTTAGTTACTTTGTGAAACCTTACTATCAAAATAAGTAACTTATTTTCAACTTGATGGAGCAGGAAATTAATTTATTATTTATTTCCTTATATGTACAGTTCTTAAGATTAGCCAATCATGGTCTTATGCCTCAACATGTTTACCTCACAGCCACATCATGAATGTAATCTAGTACACTACAAAGAAGCAATGCTTATCCTTGTTTGATCCCCATTATTTTTAAAATATCTTTTTCTCTCTTCTTTTCAACTATCCATTATTCAATAAAATAATATCACACAAATCTAAAATTTTTCTTACTTTTTAACCACGTTCTTCCTTAATCTACTATTCTAAAATGTATTTTTAGTTAAAAATGGGGCTCAAGCGGGCGCTTAATAAAGAAGATTTGTCTATCCTACCTAAATTTGGAAGATTAGAAGTGAAGAATACTTTTTTTATGAGATTGTAAATAGGAAGCAGCCATTTACCAAGTTTCCATCAGTCTTCTACTCTTTGCCTTCTGCATTCCGAGCTTCTTTGACAGATATATTTCTTCTTGGTGAGGGTTTTGGTTGATGCCATCTTCTCATGGGTCTTCAACGCCCGTTCTTTCTCCTCCAATGATGAGGTCACAAAGCATACATGGTTTCCAAGGAGATTCCCAGACTATATCACTATAAGAAAAATAGAAGAACTATCAAATGCATAACTACTCAGCCTATTAGAGCTTTTAAATCAGCATCAACTTACAAAACTAAAGCCACTGTTTTAAAAAGCTTTATGAGGCTTACGCCAAGCTGAACAAATTCTATAGAAAAAATCCACACAGCTACCTTAACTTGTCTGATTTCAAAGTCTCAAGCAACAATATGATAGTTCACCTCTCAAATGTACGTGCTATTTCATATGGTTATGAAAAAAATAGGAAAAATGGTTTCAAATAATATTCCTTTAAATAAAAACATATCAAAGCACTTGTATTCAGAACAATCACAAGAATAGAAGTCATAAGAAAGCAGGGGAAGTGAATAAATGACAGGAAGGATAGTAGAAATTACATCCTCCAGAAGAAGAATAAAAATAAGGTAGCCTTTAAACCTTTCATGAAAATATATATTTTAATGATTTTAGCATAAATTACACCAACTGTCTAAGAGCTCATATTAGAAGTTTCCCGAAAGAGTACTTGCAAATATTTACAAACGGATTTGAAAATTCTTCAATAGAAAACTTGGAAGTTCCAAAGTAATATACACAAATTAACAAAAAAAAAGAAGTTCAAAATAAATAGTAGAACTGATGTTGATAATTCATCATATATTCGACAAAGCAAATGATCCTATCATACTTATAGATTTCCACATCTAACGACCCTAACCAAGATTCGGACAAGAACTTTAAAATTTATTTGGTTTGTGATCTAAGAATTATGTTTTTTCCTTACAATCCATTATTACATGAGAAGGAGACTAAGAACCTTTAGTAGATCTTTCAGAAACAGTTTCAAAGGCCACAAAAAGAGTAAGTAACCCCAGCAACTGAGACAAAAACAAGTTCTTGAAGGAGTTGTTCTAGTCGAAAGCAAGCCAGAAGAGCCAAAGAAACCAACAAAAGCTATAGAGGTGGTCAAGGAGGATAAGGAAGATGTAGCAAAAACTATTGCTTCCCCTAAGAACCCAAAAGCCTAGGCTGCTGCGTAAATTTCTGATGAGAAATGTGAAGAACCTTTAGTTAAAATATAAGGTGTTAGATTCATGTTGTATTGTTTTCACAATTAGAAATTGATTGGTTTTGCAAGTGATTTGTTGAGGCTCATGTAATAAAATTTTTGAAAAAATAGACATATATTGACATTATTTGTACTTATGTTGTATTAATATTATGTTTTGTCCTCTTGATATTGATGTATCCAATCAAATTTCTTACCGTTTAAACACCTTGTGGCCAAGTTAGAGTATCTGTACAAGCAAGCTTCATGTGTGCTGGATAACTATTAAACATGTACAAAGTTGAATGAATCCATAGTAAATATATACATATACCTAAGAGCATCAGATGAGCAGCAAGAGAGACATACGAGTTTGCTAATTGAAAAGACGCATAGAAAATGACACAACTAATAGGTTTATATTAAGAAAATATGAGCAACATTTTAAACGAAGATCTCTGTATGGTGAATTTTAACATGTTATAGATGATCGTCTCTGAGAGCATCTTGAGCTGGCATTTGATCATTCAGTATTTGAACTTATCAATATCACCATGACTGTTGATCATGAGAGTTAAAGAAAGTGTGCTAAGATCATATCAGTAACTTGTTCATCTCTTGGAAGTTGCATACATTAGTTCAAGCATTTTGTCTTCAAATTTAGTAAGGCATTAAAGTTTATAACTTAGGTTCAATATACAAGGAAAATTTATAGAAAGGAGAACCCAGATGCAAAAAAGGTGATTTGTCATCTTTAACATCACTTCAATAGTCATTTCTAGGCAGAGTTCTTGAAAATCGTAACTCACAATTTCATTATATGTAATTTAGTAATGCACAATATATATCGAGGATATCATACCTAAGGATAAGTGAGTATAACTTGATATTCCAAACTGAAAACAACTACACTTACACATAGGAAAACATTCGATATCGAGAACTGGAAGTTTCAAATTCTGAAGTCTATAAAAAAATAACTGATAAATGTACCATTAAATCATCAAAGGACTCCGGACATTTAACTTTTCAATATGAAAAACTAGTTTTGCAATTTAATTGAAACCTTGAATGAAAGTGTAACATGCCACATGTCATGTGTATGGAGTGTTTACTTTGACATTTAATTTGTAGGGGATTAGTTCACGTGCAGGTTAAATGATAGATAATGTAATTTTATTTTGAAATGATTTATTTGCTTTGATTTTAGGTATATGATAGGGATGGGCTGCCACGTGTTGAGTAGATAAGGAAGAAGTAATTGTTGATTTGTATGAATATAAGGATTGAAACTTTTTAGGTAAAAAAAATGATTTTTGAAAGATTTTTAATTCTACAAAAATTCAGTTTTTCTTTCAACTCAAAGTACCATACCAAAGTTCTTATTATTTACTCTAGAAAATATAGATACATATATACGGTGGTATCAGCAACATAGACAGAAAATAAAGTTTGGATTATGCTTTTTAAAAGAAAACTATTTTATCTAACAAGGTAGGATAACGAGGTGCTATTGCTTTTAAACCGTTTAAATCATTTATTTCATATTGTAGAATTATTATGCTTTTGAAAGTTTAAAGATATGATATGATATGATATATATGTTATTGCCAGTCGATATCAAATATATGATGTTTATTGAGCTCTTAACGATTTCTAAAAATATGATGACGGTATAATATTTTTGACATATGCATTTGAATATTTTTATTCGAGATTGCACCATGATTTTTTTTGTCCTACTGAATATTCCCATGTACTCACCATTTTCCCTACTCCTCACAAATTAAAAGGAGTCATTAGTTGACGGGCGATGCGGTGCAGTCGTGATGCCAGAAATTATAGAATTTAATAGTAACATGGCTATGGACTTTTATTTTCAGCTTTATATTATTTTTTACTTCCATGTGAAAATGTTATTTAGGATTTAGAAAATGGTTCGATTGATTTTTTTCATATATATTTAACTTGTTTTATTGATGGAACAAAAAATTTTCATGTGGGGTGTTTGAATAATTTATTTAATTATGGAATAAAAGTTTTAGTAACGATCTATTTTATTTCTCCAGAAGAAAAAGTAAAATCAGTCCCAAAGGAATAAAATTTACCTAGGAAACTAACTGTTGACACATAAAAATTCAGCCCAAATTGAACAGCCCAGAGAATAAAGTCCAATTGGAGGGTCCCCAAATCAGATAGCCCAAAGAACGAAATCCAATTGAACGAATCAAGGTGAATGCCCAAATAAGGGGCCCAATAGTGCGGTAACGCCATCGCCCAAGTTTGCAAGTCGCTCAGAGTCAGAACGAATAGAGTGGCATACGGTCGTCCAAAGTCTCGCCCAAATCTTCAAGTCGCCCAAGGTATCAACAAACATAATACATTATGATGCAGTTATTG